TGTAACTAAGGTAGGCAGAGCCATGCCTCCAGTCTCACCATTTGCAGGGCTGCTGCTCAGTCCGATTAAGAAAGTTTAGGAATTGTAGGGGTTGTTTACTTTATTTTAACTTATTAGGAGATCAGAGCTTTAGGATATATTTAATTTGGAGTTGTGCTTGGAGTTTGTTTGCATCTTATCCATCAGCAGTTCATGATATGATTAAAGGATCTTTTATTTATAAAAACTTCTTTCTGCGGTATCTCTTGTAGCTTGTTATCACTGTAACTCCTTTTCTGTTTTTGGTTTAGACAAGACAGTGGTTAACCATGTTTTGGTGTTTGAGGGTTTTTTTGTTGGGCTTTTTTTTTCTTTTTAAAAAAAAAAAGGCTAAATAACTATGCTGCTGCAAAAATCCAGGTTGATATGCTCAAGGACTGTAGGCCATGTTGGATCCAAAGGATGTTGGGTCTAAAAATGGATGGTCAAAGATCCTGAAAGCAAATGGGCTGTTTTGCCAAATAAGGAAACTTGGCACAATCTGCTGTGTATTTTAAGATAGCACGTGTAGTGTGCTACTACTTTATTGGCAATATGTTGGCAGCGTGCCTTCCTGAAAGAAGCACTGAATCCTGCTTCGTGGAATCACCCAGTGAAGTGAGGGCAGCGAGTTGCGTGGTTGTTCCTTTTAATAAATTACAAAGGGTTTTCTTGAAGTAGTTGAATATTTAAGCAGCATCAGGTGCACGTGCAAGGTGAGGGATGCATTTTTCAGTTCTGCAGCCACGCACTAAACAAAATATGAGTTGCAGTTACTGTGCAATTTCTGCTAAATTCCTTCCTGCCTCTTGTCTCTAACTTTGAAGTCCCTCAGTGGAAGCTCTCTATACTCTGGGAGCAGTAGCTGAATGACAAATGGTACATGGAATAAAGCAGAGAGTTGGGCTTGGCAGCACTTCCCCTACTGCGCAGGCTGTTTCTGCGGAGCTGGGAGGTACAAGTGAACGTGTCAGGTTCCTCCAGTGTTGCTGTGCTAGGATGCAGGGCAGGGCAGCCTGCAGTGCTGTTGGTTTGCAATCCATCTGCCTGGGTGCTTGGGGGTTCCCTCACCTTGGGGGAGTCTGGAGGGAGCAGCAGGCGTGGAAGCCCAGCAGGGTCCTGGGGAGGGACCCCCGCGCCAGTTACTCTCCCAAAATGCTGTAATCACAACAAGCCAGTGGTGGCGGATGGTTTCCTATGCCGGAGCACTTACTGCTGTACTGAACTGAGCTTGTTGTGGCTTAATAGCTTGCTGTAAAGTGACTCTGCATAATTGAGTCCTGACATGTTAAATACTAATGTTAAATAATGTTAAATAATAACCCGACATGTTAAATACTGCCAAATGCGGCTCAGATCTGTTTTTTTGGTGTGAAATTAACAGCTTCTAACAGCATGCACAAATAAGTTATTATGAGAAAAAAAAACCACACAGGATAAGCTGGAGATGTTCTTGCATGATTACAAGCTCCTGTTAACCATCAGAAATAAAACAGAAGAAGGAGAAAGTTCCCCTCCGTCCAAGATCCCATAGGAATAACTGAAATAACCAGCAATTGAATTATTTCTTCAAATACCTACCATTCACCGTTTCTGAACTGTCACATTTTCATTTCATCGACAACAAGCAACAAAGTCAGTCGATGTAGTGTTCCCCGCTCGTACACGACGACAGTGGTTAAACACTCAGAACGGTGCTGACGCCAAACCTTCGTTACGGTGCGTGCCTGCACGCGGGGGAATTGCCGTAACGCCCCGCGGCCCCAAGCCTGGAGACCCTGTTGCAGAGGACTGCTCACCTGGCTGCAGAAGTGTGAGGTGCGAAGAAGTGCCACATGTTGTTGGAATGATGCACTTGTTTCAGATGCACGTGTAAGACTATGGAGTTTAATGAAGTACCTGGGGTTTTTTTTTCCTTAACCAATGGTGTAAACTCAGATTGTTAAGTATCTTTTAAAACAGGATGACAAGTTAATAACTGTGTGTGGATTTGTCACATGCAGCTGTTACTCTAAACAGTTGTTTTCTCAGACATAACAAAGGGATTGATCTGTCTAATTGAGGATTAACTACCTTGCATCCGAAAACATGGAGTAATATTTAAACAGGTCTGTTCTTCCATCTAGAAGGAGAAGACTGTATTAGGCTGTCATTAATTACAGATCTCTAAATAAAGAGCATCCCATGTAAATTTCCTCTACTTTCTCTGGAAAAAAAGCATCTGGAAGAACCTGATACAAACCAATGAATCATTCTTTAAATTACGTTACTTTATTGTATGCTGGTGCCTATAGCATCTGCAGCTGATTGCTGTAGGTAAATTTGAAATTGGGAAAGTGTTAAAAGAATGAACAGCAGCTTCTGGAAATGCTTGTGTGCCAGGCACTACACTGCGATTGCATAATGTTTAGGTAAAGTTTTAAGCAGCAAGGAGGACACATCACAAAAGTACTCACTTCTATTTATCAAGTGTCTAGTGTGCATGCTGTACCATCTTGAGGTCTGTTTTCTGTGAAATCTTGGAATAATATCTTGTTCTATGTTAGCGTAACTTTCAGAAGTCAAATAATTTACTTGTTTATACGGATGATTTGGTTCTTCTGGGTGAACAATAATTTAAAATAATTTGACAGCTCTTCAGAACTATTGAATTCAGATTGTGAAGGCCAGAAATACTTGTTTCTTGTGATGTATTTTTCTTTTTGGTTTTCTGTTCCTTCTGCAATCCCAAATGCAACCATCTGTATCACTGTTCATACTTTCCTGTTAAATTTATGGTCCAGTCGGTGCATATGCTTTTGCCTATGAGTAACATTACTCTTCTGAATAATTCTGTTGTCAGTAAGGAGATTATTCACTGGAGCATAATTACCCACGTGCATAAATGTGTGCAGGGCTGTGGCCTTAAATTGTGAGGTCTCTGGGTTGGGAAGCTGACCTGTTTTATTTGTCTATAAAGTGTCACATATGCCTGAGACACCGTGTACACAGCATTAACTTGGAGCAACTGCTGGAGTAAACAAGGCAAATGAACTTTTGTTTCTGAAGACCTGCTAATTAAGCAGCACTGGCAAAGAAGCAAACAGTTAAACTGCCTTCGCTACCCTCCTGATTTGCAGGAGTGACCAATTTCCTTTCCCTTGAGCTTTCTCTAAAGAAAATGCATGCAGGGCGGTGCAAAAGATGACTCGGAGATGGCAGGAAATCTAATGACAGCAGCAACAAGGTTAAAACAAGAACAAAAGGTCAGCAGAAAAGTCCAGGCACTTGTACTGGGGAAGGAGTCGGCAGGGTACTGGATGAATGGACTTTATTTCACGTCCCACGGGTAACTCCTGCTCCGACTTGCAGAGCTGGGGAAAGGGCACTCGTGTTCCCTCACCGAGGGCTTTGCAGGTTGGCTGTCAGCGAAAGGTGTGCTTGAAGGCTGCTCCCTCCTAAACGTGATGCCTTTTGTAAACATAGTAACATTGTCATGGTCTGGTCAGCGCTTGCCTTTACCCTTGCGGGTGGTGAAGAGATGTAAAACGAGGCAGGCAGTTTCAGAAAAGGCTATATGTTATCTTATGCAATATGTAGAAAAAAAATGTTGGTATCTTCATCTCTTATTTGGAGAATAGCTGCAACCAAATAGTGCCAGAAATTTCTGGTCAAATGATATGTCAAAATTTTAATCAGATTAGCTGCACAATCAGGAGAGCTGGGGGGGAAATTATGTCTTTGTGTGTATTACAGAAGGGACAGGGATGAAGGGGTTTTGGTAGTCGGCAGTGCTAGGTGTATTACAGGTGCATTTCTTAGCCACAGACAGCACATAATGTGTGGATTCCATCTCAAAAAGCCCTATGGATTGGAGGCTCCCAGAAGACACAGTATGTTTTGGTACTATAGTTAGACCAGTATAACTGGAGGTGTAATTTTCACCAACAACCCAAAATCTCTGTCTTTTTTTGGCTTGTTTTATTCAAACCTGTCTCTTTCATTTTATGGTGATAAGTTTACCTTCATTAGTTGCAAGTATAGTAACTTTTGCTGGTAATTGAAACTACTTTGTCTAAACTGGTGCATCTGAAATTGTCCTGCAGCAGGCTTGCAGATGGTTCTGGAGGATGCCATGTCCTGCAGTCCCACTGAGGGCCTGGGGCTTCCTGATCTTACACCATTAAAAAAACAAACCTAAAATTAGTCATTGTTCATGCATTTAGGTGATAACGTTTATTGAAATTCACTATGGGCATAAGGTTTATCGCTGTGAAATCTCCAAGAAGGACATTCTGTTCCCCTGGCAGCAGACATGGGATCATCTCTTCAAACTGCCGACACCAACCTTGGCACAGGTTGCAGAATTTCACATATTGTAATCCAGATGAATTACCATGTACTTGCGCTTTGTTATAACATGTGAACAGAGCTGAGTCACTCAGGAAGAGACGTTTACTGTGGTCAGGTTTTTCCACATCCTTGCACAAAGCACTTCTACCTCACCCTGAGCGCCGGCAGCGTGCGTGGTACATGCCGAGGTGCCGCTGCCCGCCTGCCGGAAGGCTGCCTGCTCGGCCTCGTGCATGGCCATCGTGGCGGGAGAGCTGGCGTGCCTGGCATGCCTGAGCTCCTAGGCAAGCTCGGAGTAGAGAGCATGCTTCCTGTCCATTGGCACGCTTTGCTCGCATTGGGGAAGGCAGCGATGCGCCTGCCTTTCGCAGAGCCGCTTCCGAGGTGTTCGGGAAACGTCAGTATTGCTCTGAGGAATATTTTTAGTCATTTCTGCCTCCCAGCTGCTCCTAATAGTTCGTGCAAATTATGCAAACATTTGCACAGCCTGTTGGAGTGTGAGTTCCCAGGCTCTTTTCCTCCTGTGCCCTGCGGATTTTACTGTAGCGTGTTTATGGTGACTGGTTCTGGTTTTGGGGTGTCTGGGCATGGGTAAGAAAGTCCATAAATCCACGGAGCATATGAGTTAATGAAAGCTTTTCTCTTTACAGGTTTTGCTGTGGTATATTTTGTCATTATGAGATGTCGTCTACCAGTGCTTCATTTGTGCAAATTAGATTTGATGACTTGCAGTTTTTTGAGAACTGCGGTGGAGGGAGTTTCGGGAGTGTCTACCGAGCGCGATGGATTTCTCAGGACAAGGAGGTGGCTGTAAAGAAGCTGCTCAAAATAGAAAAAGAGGTAAGAGTTTACTTTTTGTTCACTTTGCCTGCTGTGGAAACAAGGACAGAAGTTTTTTTCTAGTGTCTTCCATCCTCTATCCAATTGAGGCAAACTACCTTGGGCTTTTTGTTTGTTTAATTACAAAACCCCGTAACTGGATGATGTTACAATAAAGACATACTGAGGGGGCCCCAGCGAAGGGTGTCTCTGATTTAAAGCATCATTGTTTTACTGTTCGCTGTCCTCCCCCGCTTTTCTTGTTTAGCAGCTCCTCTCTGCCCTGGCCCTGAGGAGGAGGAGCTCTAGCTGTACCTGTGGAGCTAGTAGTTTCCCTTTGATACCACTGGGCATGTCGCTAGATAGGAAGAGGTAGTGTTCACTGTCTTTGCCTGCTTCTGTTTTCTCCTCTTTACATCTGGTCTCTTAAGCGCTGTGGTTTGAGTCTGTATGTTCACTATAGGCTTAGCGTGTGTTGCTCGGTGTTGTCTCTTCCCTGCCTGCTGCAGGTTTTGATCTGGCGCTCCACTATCTCTGAGTTAGTCATAGCCGCGCTTCGGCTTGGTCTCATCTTACAGCGAGGTTTAAGCCTAACCATTCTGCCAGTCACTTTTCCTCGCGGCATCCTGTGCACCTGGAAAGGCGGACAGGTCCTTGGCAATCCCGTGAAAAAAGGCAGAATTAACTTACTGCACCTTTACCAACTAAGGCTGGTTTGAGTTTTTTTTTTAAAAACTTGACCCTCAGCTTTGAACAGTCTCAGCAGAGACACAGTGTATGTGGTCGTCACAGCGCTCCAGCCTGCCTGCTGGGCACTACCCCTGACGCAGCAGTGAGGACACACCAGTGTAGTGATGGACAGCACAGTTACTGGACCGCTGTTCCAGCATGACTATATCTAACTTGTATACAATATCGTCAGAGTATTTTAGGAAGACAGTTATAAGCTGGAGAACAGCAGAGCAGTGCTAGGGATTATATGCTTAGTAAATAATCAGACACCAAAGTTCATCCACTGCTGCAGCAACCGAGTTAGCATGATTACATCATGCTTAGTGATGTGATAAGCATGTTTGATCGTGATTAAGCAAGTTGCTGTCTAAAATAATGTGGAAGGATGTCATGATTTTTCCAGGATGGTGGGAGATGTACACCTTCTGTCCAATGTCAGTTTGTACTGTTCTTTTTATTTCTCCTACTTGTTAATATCAAAAGATATACAAAGACAAGTAAAATTGGTGCTATGCAGTATCAGTAATGCATTCCTTAAAAATCAACTGGTTGGCAGATCTCAGTAGTGGTCAGTGAAGTATCTTTATTGAATAGGTGTGTTTCTAGTGGGATTACACAGGAGTCTGTGCTAGACCTGTTGCTAGGTACTTCAAGCGTTTTTGAAAGAAAATTTAAAAACAATATTACTACATCTTGTGATGGCATAAACCTTAGTGGAATGGGAAATGATGAAGACAGTAGGACAGTCATATGTATTGCTTGACACATTCAACAAAATATTGGACCATTCAACAAAAATATTTTTTTTAAAACAGCCAAATACAATGTTCAGCTTGTAGTAACAAGGAACACAGGTTGCACACTAGGAAAAGGAAATCGTATGCTGGAAAGAATTTAGTATAATTTAAGGGTTTATTTAGGGATTAATGAAGACTTGCAGCTCATTAAAAGCTCATATCATGGTGCTGTTAGGCAACTTAGGTTAATGTCCTTGCATATCCAAATCAGGATCAAGTCATTTGTAAGAAACAGGCGTGCTTTATCTTGGTATGTGGCACTGGGGAAATGGGCAGTAGGTGCAGACCCGGTTCTGTTGTGTTTAAAAGAATGTAAACAAACTGGAGGGGCAGCCCAAGGGGGACTGCAAAACACACTCGAAAGAGCGGTAAGTAGGAGGGCTGTGGGGGAGTGTGTGTCAGAAGGGGGTGATGGAAATCATCCATCAGAATGAGTTGACAGAAGGGGAGCAAGTGCCTTCCAGCACAAAATTGTTTATTTTCCTTAAGACTGGTTATCATTTGCAGCTTAAACTAACATGACAGGTTATAGCTGGGAGCAGCCTGGTGTGGGCACCTTCTCGGAATTTTTCTGGGGAGGCAGCAGAGAGGCAAGTGGTGATGCCTTAAATAAGTCTAGCAAGTTTTGCCAGAACTTGTCTGTCAAAAACCGTAGAGAATTAAAAAATAAGAGCTTGTTTACAAAAATTGCATTTTCATATGGAGAAAATGCTGGGCTCGTTTAATCTAGTGCAAAAAGTTATTACAAGACTATGTAATGGTGGCGATCTGAAGCCAGACAAATTAGAATGGGAAGTAAAGCACAAATTGTAAGGAGTGAGGATGGGTAACTCTAAGAGCAGACTACAAAGGGAAGGAGTGAAGATGGAGAATCCTTTCCATCTCTTCATGTCTTCACATTGAGATGTCTTTTTGGACAATTGTTTTTGTCAAGTTGTTGAGCTCAACACAAGAGCAGCTTGCTGAAGTATAGTGCCCTGTGATGTACCGGGGGCCAACCTCAGTGGCCTAAAGGTCTCTTCTGACCCTAATGGCTGTAAGTCTGTTTACATACATAGTATGCAGTATGTTTATCTGTAGTGATGACGGTAATGAATATCTGTGACTGAACTGTGCTGAAAGTCACGGCAGGTCAATGGCTTTTCTGATAACAATAGAAAAATAACTTGCCGTAACTGTAATGTATCTGTGTTTAGTAGATATTTGGATGGTTTGCATTTAGTCCAGAAAACTAATTGTTACCCTTTCTGGTTTATTTGAAAGGAAGTGTCCTTTTAACTTCATGACTGATTGTCTTGTATTTCTGTTAACTGCTGCCAATAATCCATAACAACTAATTAAAGAGAAAACAGAGGAGAGTTGGGAAAAGCTTCCTCAGAGGAATTTCGTGCTAGCCGAGTCCAAGGGCACAAGCCAAGCCAACAGAGCTGTGGTATCATTCTGCAAATATGTTGTATCTGTTTCATTTTATTAAACAAGCCAATCAAAACCAGCAAAGGTCTTGAAGGCTTTATATTAGCCAAGTGGCTAACAAGTTCTAACATGTGAAACAAAGCAATTTTTGTTCCAGTATATAGCAGCATATCATACTAAAATACATGCTCAGAAAAACTTACAAATACTTGGAAGGGTGTTGCTCAGGCAGATTTCTTCAAAACTCTTTAAAATTTGATAAATGGGAAGACCTCTGCAAGGCATAAACTTTTTATAGACAGGCAGTAAAATGTGACTGTACGGGAAGAGGTGTGTGTTTATGTGAATAAAATACAGCTAAATAGGTGTGCTGAGAAAAAATAAATATGCTGCAAGGCCTTGATTAGAGTATCAGATCTGAAACTCTGGACAAGACTTCTGCTGATTAAGTAAACCATAGGAGTGTGTCTTGAGTGATTAAATAACAGCAAAAACAAAATTAAATTGCCATTTTACTATCTAGTCCAAGCACTTCAGCAGTTTTAGGTTTTAAGCAAGGAACAGTTCCTTGTGAATCGTCTTACGGAAAATCAAACTATCAGCATGATGCTTATGATGCATGTGGGGGGAGTAGAAATGCCTCCTGTAGTAGGATGTGCGCTTGTTCCTTTTGCCCTAAGTGATAATTATGTGCACTCATTGAAGAAAATGGCATACCTACTACTCAGAAAGTTATCTGGTATTTTTGTGAACAATTTATATGAATTATTGGCTAAGCCCATAATTTGGCTCCCACTGAAATGGGTGGGAGAGATTGGGCCCAAAGGCCTTATTCTGCAAATTGCTAGCAGTTCTTTTGACTCCATTATCTGGAGCAGATAACTGCTGGAGCGAAATGTTACAACCTGTTGTTTTACGCCATGCCACGTTAGCTTTTCACTGAATAGCACTCACCTCCTTCGATTGTCCGTACATCTCTGAAATTCACCTGTTATTGAAGGCTGTGCTTTTGGCGGCTGTTTTTTGGCAGCTGGCATCTGAAGTGTGGCTCTTCATCGGGAGATTTATTACTGCTGGAATTTTACCTGAAATTTGAATTTAATTTTAATGTCACTGCTCTTTGGAAGTACTCCATGATCCATGAACTGTCTCTGTGCTATTGATGGACAGCAGTATTGCATCTGATTTGCTTGCTTCAGCTGTTACAACCACGGTACGTAGGTACAAGATTGTTTGGTTTCATGCAGTACAGCTGTTCCTGAATTCCTTCAAAATGCTGGCGGTGGTCTGTGCAAACTGAAGGAGAGTGGCGGAAAAAAACCCAGTAAAATGTAACGGTAATCTTACTGGGAAATACTTCTGGTGAACTAACAGAACTAACGTGATAAAAAAATGTTACACTGAGTAGGATTAACTGTGCATGCTTTGTTCAGTCATGTCTGTGCAATGCATTTGAGTTTTATGAGACTCAAAAATAAAAACATGTTTTTACTAGTTTTGGTGCTGTATTGCTGGAAGTCTGACTACCATGGAAATTAATTTTATATTGTCAGGTTTTCTTGTGTGTAATACATGTGCAATAAGCTTTAGGGGGATCTTTTAATGCTTCATAAAACTTTTCATATGGAATATAATGCAGCTTATTCACTTTTTTGATTTTTATAATCCACTTCTGGAAGGGACTGTCCAGAAAACATGGTTTGTGCCTGCACCGTCTGAAGGGGATGAGTTAAGTATAACCACATGCATGTCACTGGGCTCGCCTCACTCACGTTTGTAGTCCTAAAAGAGAGCATGTGGTAATTTTAGTGTGGGTCATGAGAGTAAGGACTGGGAATGACTTTCAAGAGTAACAAGAGAAAAACAACAGAGTAAAATAGAGCAAACTAAACCAAACCAAACTGAAATTGATACTTAGCCCTGACAGGACTAAAAATAGTAGATGTTCTTTTTACTTGTGGTTTATAGCTGGTATGGGTGCTTGGGTGCCAGCCTTGAATGACTCTCCACACTGGGACCTGGCTGTAATGAAGGGCAATTTTGATGCTTTTAAAAATTATTTTATTAGCTCTTTCTAGG